CTGTTCCTTTGTCAGAATTTTAATAATTGGTCATGAATTTTCTTCGCAGTCTTAAAATATTTGATCTTGAGTTTCTTATGCCAGTGAGAATTTCTTAGGTAAAAAGACTTGAAAAACAAATTTTCTCAAGAGCTTGGTTAAGCTAATTAAAGCTGCATAATATCTTGAGGTCGAATAAGTGAGTGAAAATTTAAATTATCTTTAAATGAAAAGAATAAGAATTCATGAATGCTCACAGTGCTGTAGCTTCAGTAGGGGCAGGATGGACTCTGAAAGTCATTCTCTTTGTGTTTTAGGAGATAAAGGAAAAGACACCCAGCTGCTTCTCAGATAAGTGACCTTGGGCAAGTTATTAAATCTCGTTGAATATCAGTTCCTCATTTTTGAAACACGGACACCAGTAGCACCAAGACCAACAGCACAGGTCTCCAGAGAGAAATAAACCAGGAGAAATGGTTCTTGGCCTACAGTGAGCTCTGAGTAACTGCTCAGTACCATCGTAGGGCAGAGAACATAATTGGCTCTTGTCCTGATTACAAATAGAGTCAGAAACCACATTTTCTGAATTTTCTGCAATTCATAGACATTTGGTTATTTTAAATTACACCATGCTAGTGAACTTTTTTCTGTTTGTCTGATAATCTCATTCTTTTTTTTTTTTTAAAGATTTTCTTTCTTTATTTGACAGAGATCACAAGTAGGCAGAGAGGCAGGCAGAGAGAGAGGAAGGGAAGCAGGCTCCCTCCTGAGCAGAGAGCCCGATGTGGGGCTCGATCCCAGGACCCTGAGACCATGACCTGAGCCGAAGGCAGAGGCTTTAACCCACTGAGCCACCCAGGCGCCCCTGATAATCTCATTCTTTACTGCCTTGACTTTGCAGCTTTATAATGCCACAGTGTGGCAGTGAAGGAGTTGTTCTGCCTTCTCATTCCCTTCCCACCTTCCCTCCCGAGTGCCAGACTGATGGCCCGCAGAGTCCTCCCCTCCTTCCCTCCCGAGTGCCAGACTGATGGCCCGCAGAGTCCTTCCCGGCCATGAAGGCGCAGCAGTGGGCAGGCAGGACTTGGTTTTCCCACAGCTCCTCCATCTTTGCCCCTGCACATTGGGATAAACTAAGGTACCCTTTTATGGTGGTGGTTCTTTTTTGTGTCTTCACAAGAAGGTACATTTTGTGGCCTAAAGATGAATAAATAAGGTTGTCTTTTTTCTTTCTTTTTAAATAGCCTATGAAATTCTTTGTGCTTTTTACCTGCTAAGATAATGGTTGGCTGTTTTTTGTAAGAAAGCTCAGCTTCTGACAGTCGTTGTTAATTTGCTGCTGTGCGGCTTGGGGAAACTGCTAGTGCTGTATGTTTTTTAATTTTATTGCTCAGAAGCAGGTATTGTGGATAAAAGCTTGGTGGTCGTATTCTAATCTGTGATCATTTTTTTAAAGAACTAGAATATTTCCCTTTTCTGGGTGCTTGTGATTGCCAGCCAGATGCTGAAAGGTTTACCTGTGCCACTGAAGAAGGTCCCTTCAAGTCCCACCTTTCAGTATCGCTGTCGTGTCTTTAATAGGCAGCATAGCATAATGGTGGTTTAGAACAAGTGTTTCTTAAGCTCTCTTTTTTTAATTTCTTCCCTGACAAAAGCCTTTTTAAAATAGTTTTTTCCTAATTGGCCTTTACCTCCATGAAATTTTAATTCCGCAGATATACCATATTTCTATTTATGTATTCCGTGTATCTGTGTTTCTACATGAAGAGTGAGTTATTTTGTGTGCCTCCTTCCCCCAAAGAATTGGTGTTTGTCCCCTTGAAGTGATACCATCTACATTGGGAATGTATGATTTACAGCAGTGGATTTTCAAAATTTTTGGACTTTCATATTCTCTGAAATTATTGGGGATCCTGAAGAACTTTCATTTGTGTGTTATATCTAGTAATATTTATCCCATTACAAATTAAAGCTAGGAAAAATTGCAAAATATTAATTTTTAAAAATATTTTATTAAAAATAACTATCCCTTCCCTCACCCCTGCCATTACCATCGAAAAGGTTTAGTGAGAAAAGTGGCATCGTTAGACATTTTGCAAACAGTGAGATTCTCGTAGTTGGCTCTGCATTTAACCTGTTACAGGAGAAAAGCTGGCGTCACGCACATGGGTCAGCAGAAGAGGGAATGTTGTAACAACCTTTTCAGATAAACTTGGCAGTTTGTAGTCTCTTAAGGGTTAGTTGCAGTCTAGAATCTCAAACTGTGTATAAAACTTTTGTTCCATCACTTTAAAATTCACTGGTCTTTCACTTTGAATGGATCCTTTGTTGATGAATCGTTTTGTGCCGTCGTACACTGGTCACTGGCAAATGCTTGTTTTCTGACAGTACCAGCCACTCACATGTCGTTAATATCATTACTGATCTTACCAGAGACTCTAAAAATTGGAGATACTTGTCAAGCTTTATTTATGTATTTATTTATTTTGCTTGAATGTGGTCCTTGGCAATAAATACTGTTATTTTTCTTAAAGTGACAGGCTCACTTTGTTCGTTTTTGAGAAAATGTCTGCTCTGTACAGAAGTCTAAATAACCAGGCTTCGCCAGTTCCTTGGAATAAAAAACCTCTGCCATGAAAAAAGTGACGGGGGCAGCCTGCAGCTTGAGCAGCTGGGCAAGTGTGTCTGCTCCTGCTGTCTTCACACTTGTGTATGCAGCAGGAGCTCTCTGCAGACTTCCAGAGTCACCTAAAACACTACCAAGATGTGTGTTCAGGCTCCAGATTTAATAAAGCTGGTTGTGTTGCGGTGAGACTGTCGTGCGGTGGGAGACAGCTAGTACTGGGGCCATTCTCCCGATCAGGTGCTTGATAGGGCTCCTGGCATGTGACCACTGCTGCACATGGCAGCACGGTGAGAAGGGGCCAATAGCTATTCGCGTTAGTGTGGAAACAGTTCTGACCTCCCTGGGGGTCCACAGAAGCACACTTTGGGAAACACTGATGCCGAACAGGAGCTTAGAGCCAGACTGGCTGATTGAGTCAAGCTCCATCACTTACTGGCTCCACGCATGACCCAGAGCACTTACCCTGACAGCCAGCACCAGGCACACTGTCCCGCGGGAGCAGAGGCCACAGATCCCTGTGGGATGTTTCCCATTAGTTTTCTATCCCATCTTTGCTACTTTGTTTCATTTGGCATGTACATTTATAGAACTAGGGAGGCAGCCCATGCAGAGAGCAGAGCGGAGAAGATTGGGTTCCGAGGCGATTTGCCAGCATGGACTAAGAAAGAGGTTTGTCCAAATCCCAGATTGTATTCCCAGGCTAAAGGTTTAAATATTCCCCGTAGTTTTAGGATAGTTCTTTTTAAAGGCAAGTGCCAAATCTGCTGCCTTGTTTTGTAATCCTGTCAAATGCATTTTTGTTCTTGGTTCAGGAATTTGTGTTAAGTACACCGCCCCGCCTGCCCCCCCCCCCCCCCCCAGTCAGTTCAGGTGAAGAAAAACTGTCCAATAACCGCGGGCGCTTTCCCTCGTTGTTGATGGACTCAGGGCAACTCAGGGCAAAACCTTGTCCTCCTCTGGTGGTTCTTTTTTTTTTTTTTTTTTTTTTTTTTTTTTTTT